CAAAAGTGGGGGTATCCTGGCGAATTTCCCCAGCCCTGATGTCCCAGGATCCCATGGCCCAGAGCCTCCATGACATGTGTGAGTGATCAGAGACCCTCCCCTCAGAGGTCGAGAGCTCTCTTCTCTCCTCAGTCTGCCTCTGGCTGCTTTCCCCTCCCCCACGCCTGGCCCCCTACCCCTGTGACTGCCCCTTCCCTCTGCGTCTCTGCCTGGTGTCCCGGAGAAGAGCACATATAGGGCGGCCCAGAGCTTGACAACCAGAGCTCAGATACCAGTAGATCTGTCTGTCAGTTACAGGCTGGATGATCTTGACCAGGTTCCTAATCCTTCTGAGCCTCAGTTTCCTCACCTGTGACCGTGGAGTTGATAACAATAGAACCTCCCTCTTGGGTCATTGTGTATATGGCCATTAGCTATTCGCGTTATTATGGCTGTTGTCTCCTGCTCCACCCTGTTGCGGAAACAGCACGGATGGGTAGGAGCTGAGCACTGGAGACTGAGCCAGGCACCAGACTGACTGCCGCCTTCCCAGCCTCCTTGAGCTCCCCGCCTGGTGGAGGCAGACACATCAAGAGGCAGCTTCAGTGCAGTGGGCCAGGGCCACCCTCTAGGGAAGCCTGGGGGGCCCTGTGGCCACAGAAGGGGCCCAACGCTACAGAGGGAGGCCAGGGCAAGCTGCCCGGGCAGGGAATGGCTGGAAGGCAGCACAAGTGGGCTGGGTGAAGGGGGCTCAGGGTGGGGGTTCCAAGCAGAGGGGCCAACAGTACAGGAAACTCACCGTCAGGGCGGCGGGAGACACCGGCTGGTCTTGGGTAATTCTGGTAGAGGGGTCGCGACAGGACTCAGTGCCTGCCTCTCACTGGACTGTGTGCCTGGGTGCGACTTTGTGTGATTGCCTGGGGCTGTGTATGTACATGTGTGGCTGCGTGAGGGAGAGTTTTTGTGGGTTAATCTCTGTGTAGGACTGTGTAAAATATTGCGAGTTTGAAGGGGGGTGCTGGGTATGCCTGTTTGAGACAGTTTAGGGTGTGGTCGCTGTGGGTAAAGTTGTGTGGCTGTGATTGTGTGTCCATGGATATCCCTAAGCTGTAGCTATGTGGCTGGTGGGCTGTGATCAGGAGCGTCTGTTGGTCTGGTGTGCATATGTTTACGTGTGTGTAGGTATGCATCTGTGTGTATGTGTATCATGTATGCGTGTCTTTGTGTAGGTGTGTGTGTGGATGTGTGTGAGACACATGTGTACTGCTGTCTGTGAAGTCCGCTATGAGAGCTGCTCCCCCTCTTCAGACCCTGCTGTAGACAATTCTCTCTCTCTCTCTCTCTCTCTCTCTCTCTCTCTCTCACTCTCTCTCTCTCTCTCTCTCTGGGCTGGGAGGGGTGGCTGCCCGTGGCTGCCACAGCCAGTCAGAACTTGCTAATTTGCATGTTAATGAAGCTTGGGGAGCTCTCCAGCTCGAGACTGACAGGAGCCCCGGTGCCCCCCCACATCCTCCCCTGACAAGCCTGGGAGGGGGAAGAGGGGAGGGCTGAGAACCAGCAGAGGAAAGAGGAGGCGGAGGCTCTGGGCTGAAGCTCCCCTTTCTCTCTCTTTCTCTCTCCCACCCTGTGCAGGCCCCAGGCCCCACCACATGGCTGCCTGCCCCTCAGCCCCCTGCACCCACCCTCCTAGACTGAGCTGAGGGAGAGAGGGCGGGGGCAGAGCCCTGGGGTGAGGGCAGAACAGGCTGCACAGGGTTCCCCGTGAGGTGAGGCTGGGCTGCCCATCCCCTGCCCTACATGGAGCGCCCAGAAAGTCACCTGGGGCGCCCACCGTGGGGCAGATGCCCGGGAATGGGGATCTGAGAGGAGGCTGGTGTCACACAGACAGTCAGCATCTCTCTCCTGCCCCCTGCACTGGACTTCAGCACAGGGCCCTTCACCCTGCCCCCAAGAAAGAGGGCTCAATCCAAGTGTGACCAGGGCTCCTGCCCAGGAAGGGAGAGAGGGGGACAGGGTGAGGACAGGGTTGGAAATGAAGACTAGAGACAAGGTGTGTGGGGAGACTGGGGTAGAAATGGAGACTGCCTGCCCCCAGAGGGCTGTGTCTCCAGGGAGAGGAGGGGGTGGCAGGTGGGAGCGTGGAGCCCCTCCCATTTCCATCAACAGGTCAGCCCTGGTTGTGTGCTGTCTCCTCCTCAGTCCCCTGTCCCCATCCACGTTCATATCTGGTCCCAGATCCTTCACCTCTCCTGTCCCCCACACCCCTCCTGCCCCAGCCTTCCTCCCCTCCTTCCTTTCTTAATCAGCCACATCCCACTGGAGGCTGGGCTCTCTGGGGAGCCCTCAACAGCTGGCTCCTCAAAACACTGTCTGGCTTTGTCTCAGAGGTATGTCCCCTGACTTTGCAGAGAGCGTCTGGGCCGGGGGCCCTGCCTCCTGCTGCTTCAGCTTGAACCACAGTGGGCATTTTCCGCCTTCCTTTGCCTTTCCTTCTCCTTCATTTATGCCCTGGTCTGGCCTGCTGCCTCCCTGACTCTTTCTGGGCCTGGGCCTCCATCCCTCATTCTTTTCCCCAAATGCTCAAATATTCTCATTCTCTCTCTCTCTCTCTCTCTCTCTCTCTCTCTCTCTCTCTCTCCCTCTCTTCCTTGCCCTGTAGACCTCTGGGCACCTGCCCCTGCCCCATTCGCCCACCCCCACCCCCTGTGGCCAGGCCTAGTCCCCAGATGTGCCCTGCCCAGAGCTGAGAGGCAGAAAGGTGAAGCCCCCCAGGCCCTGGGTCTCTGCAGGTGAGAGGAGAGGCAGGCAGTTGCTGGTGTTAATTGCAGGAGGATGTCTGGCAGAAATAAGGTGGTTTTTCTGCTTCAGTGACGACTGTTACAATCAAATTGTCCACAGACAATTAGCAGAGTGGGAGAAATAAGAATTAGATTTCTAATTATTTTCCCAGTAAAAGCCTCCCTGGACCCCGTAGGTGAGGGGGAAGGGCTTCTCGGTGGAGCCCACAGGCGCTTTCACGGGTCTAGCATCCATGGGCGGGGAGGGTGCCAGTAGGAGTTCCCAAGAGGGTTAGGAAGGGGCAAACCTGGCTGAGGCACGGGTTCTGGAAAGAGCTGGAAATCTGGGTCCCAGAACTAGCCTTGATGCTAACTTGCTGTCCTCTCCCATTTTGAGCCTCAGTTTGCTCATTCTGAAATAGGGGAATAACCTATCCCAGGCAGCAGACTCATAGGGAGCTGAGGAGGTGAAGTGGCAAAGTGCCTGACAGGCACCGGCACAGGGTAGGGTCTTGCTGGGCCCCAAGCTCACCCACACCTGCGTGGATGTGCCAGCTCACACACACACTCTCCTTCCACACCGCTCTGCCTCCCGGACATGCAGCTCTGTGTCAGTGAAGAGGATGGGGACTCTTGGGGAAAAGGAGCTGAACCCACAAAGAGACTAAGTCTGGCCGAAGCCGGTTTGGCTCAGTGGATAGAGCGTCAGCCTGCGGACTGAAAGGTCCCAGGTTCGATTCCGGCCAAGGGCATGTACCTGGGTTGCGGGCACATCCCCAGTAGGAGATGTGCAGGAGGCAGCTGATCGATGTTTCTCTCTCATCGATGTTTCTAACTCTCTATCTCTCTCCCTTCCTCTCTGTAAAAAATCAATAAAATATATTTTAAAAAAAAGAGAGACTAAGTCTAAGCAAACGCCTCTCCCTGACCTGCATGAGCCTCTGTTTCCCCATCTGTCAAATGTGGGTAAGGATGGTGCCTCCTGCCTGGGGTTGAAGTGAGTGTGCAACAACACATAGGTAGAGGGCATACCTCGTGCCTGGCACACGGCGTGGGCTCAGTAAACACTATTAGTGGTGAAAGTACTCTCTCAGGTGTCCGGCCCAGGTCTGTGAGGCTGACGAGGGAAGAGGAGGCTGACGAAGGAAGGATGAAGAAATACTTGTCAACCCGACTAAGCACAGAGCTCTGGGCTCACCAGACCCAGCCTTTGTCAGGGGCCATGGACACCCAGAGACACACAGAAGACCAAGCACAGAAACGCCGATGGGCTGAGCAGAACAGTCCTGGCTTTGTGTCTGGGCTGTGCCCTTTCTAGCTGGTCCACTTCCCCTCTGTGAACCTCAGTGTTCTTCCCTGTGAAGTGGGGGGAATGTAAGTGGCTTCCTCCCTGAGTTGTTCTGAGGCTGTGACAATGCCTCCAGCAGGGGCAGGAGGGCTGCTGGCACAATCACTCCAACTTGAACACCGGCACCCACATGTCTTGCACACAGACTCAGGGCCCATAGGTGGGAGCCCCTGGGCCACCCGGGCCCTTAGGCCTGACTCCACATGGAGAGGAGGGAAAACCTAGCTCACTCATGTCCTCCCAGTGCCCACACCTGGCGACAGCAACACCTGCACATAGAAGATCCATGCAGGTGTGGTGCCTGCTCCCACTCTGCTCTCACCGTCACGTACACACACACACACACACACCCTTGCTGGGGCAGTCAGAATGTCCCTGAGTGAACTGAGAGGGAGCTCAGGGCTGCACCCGCCAGGGCTGTGCTGAAGGAGGCAGCTGCAGCCCAGCTGTGGGGTCTGGGCTGGGTGAGGGGAGCTGCTGGGGACTCAGTTGGGAATCAGGCAGGAGGGGTGCTCAGCTGAATCTTGGGCTTCGGGCCGCCACCTTACCTCTTTACTCCGAAGGGCACAGTCACTTGCCTGGAGGTGGCAAGAGCACCTAGTCCCCACTGCCCTGCCCACCTTCCCCCACCCTCTACGCTGTTTCTTTCTTCCCCGCCCCCACCGCCCCACCCCCATCTCTCTGTCTCCGTCCTCTGACTCCCTCTGTGTCTCAGAGTCCCTGGATCTGCCTCTCCAGGTCAGGTCTCCAGCCCGGGTGCTGGGCTATGTAAATGTGGTATTTCCTGCCTCATCATCAGCCTGCCTGCTTGGCTCACATTTAATTTGATCCATGGCAGCACCTCTCTGGAGCCACTCATCAAAGCTGGAAGACAATTAGGCGAATGTCAGGGTGGCCTAGGCTCCAGGGGCGACAAGGCCTGGGGCGGGGGCCATGAGGAGTGGGGGCAGGGACTTGGCTGCAACTTTCATCTCCCTCGAGGCCTGTCCATACTCAGGGCCAATGCCAGTCGGGTGGCCAGAAGTCTGGACTGTCCCAGGCACCCGTCTGCCCAGCACCAGCTGTTTTGAGGGGCTCGTCTGCCACTTCTGCAATGGAGCCAGAGCTTGGCAGGTCCACCTCCCAGCCCCAAGGTCCCAGAAAGCAAAGGGCCAGGGCATCTGTGTGGCTGCAGGTAGGTGGACTCCTGTGCTGGATTTAGGAGAGGGTCCTAGAGGGGCTGGCTCAGGGTCCCCTGAGAACAACACACATTCTTTCCCCAGGGGCTCCCCAGCCCTGCCCACATCCGCCCAGGAGGGGGCCTCTACTGAGGGGGCCTCCCCTGAGCCTAAGCCCAGCCTTTCATCCTTCCTCTCTGCCTCTCTTCCGCTCCTTGTCTTTATGTCTGATGATCTTTATGTGTCTCTAACCTCTCTGCCTCTTTTTCTAACCTCATCTCTTTACTCCCCAATCTCTCCCTTTTGCTGTCTTACACTTGCACCCCCACTCCCACAATGTCCCTGAGATCTTCTAGCTTCAACTACTGTAATTCCCCATCTCCTTCTCCATGGCTTCCTGACAGCCCTGCCCCAATGGCTCACCTACGGGTGCCTTCTAGGCACATCCCAGCTGCCACCCCCAGTCCCGATTCCTCCCACTGCCCCCTCCCCAGGGACCCCTGACTCTCCTTCTCTAATGGTTCCTTCCTGTCAGCTATCAACATATTCAAGTTTGTTCCCTCTTTTAAGAAAACAAGAAGAAGAAGAAGAATATTTAAAGAAACATTCTCCGTTGACAGCCCAACCTCTCACCAGAGCCATCTCTCCTTCCATCCAGGAAAGCCTCTGGGAGAGTTGTCTACATTTGCTCCTTAACCCACTCCAAGCTGCCTTCTACACCCCTCATAACCTGGAAACCATCCTCACCAAGGTCTCCAGCAGCCTTCTTGTCACTAAATCCCATGGTCACACCTCGTCTAGATGCCGGGACAGTGTCAGGCACAACTGACCTGTCCCATTCCCTGGCTCTCCTGTGCTCCCATGACGCCTCCTGGATTTGCCCCACATCTCTGTCTGGTACCTTCTTGGACTCGGCTTCTACCCTTGCTCACAAGGCTGCCCTCCAGAGCTCTGTCCCGGATCCCCTTCCCCATTCCCCTTTCACATGACCCCTGAGTCATGCAATCCACGCCCGAGGCCTCGGTCACCATCTGTGTGCCTACATTTCTGATCTGCTCCAGCCCCGGTTCCTTCTGAGCTTGGGACCCACTATCCCCCGGCTCCTGGCCCCTCCCTGTGTGTTCATGGCATCTCAAACCCAGTGTGACCCAAACTAAGCTTTCCCACTGACCCCACACCACTCCTCCTCTTGGGTTCCCCAACTTCATGCCTGGTGCCTCCTCCCCCCGTTTCCCAAGCCAGAACCCTGGACGTCAGACCAGGGCCCTCTTCTCCCACCACAGCCACACAGGGGGTGCAGATGGACTGTGGATTCGTCAATTCTGCCCCCAAACACATCCTCTCGAGGCCTTTAAAGTCCACCCTCACCTTCCCCAACCTCCCCAGACAGGGCCACTTAAGCCAGAATGTTCTCATTGTTCCTTGGAGGCATGTACGCTTTTCTACCTCCAGGTGTGTTTACTCATTCTTGTCCCCACGCAGAACACAGTCCTTCTCTTCTTTGCCTGTCCAAATCCAGCTTGCCCACCTCCCTAGCCTCCATCCAGCCCCCTCCAACTGGCAGGACCTCCTCTCACCCTAAACTCCTGGGCCTTTCTTGTCTGGTTCATGCCTGGACATACCGCATCACCCCCAACCTTTCTCCTTCATACATGGATTCCTACATTTCCCAGGCTCCTTGCTGGCAAGTGGGCCATGTGACTGCTCCTGACCAATGAGCTGTGGGCAGAGGTAAAAGGGTCACTCCAGCTGCTACAGCAACCAAAAAAGCCTCTTTTGAGATGGTGGGTCTTCAAGATCAAAGCAGCATGGAAAGCTGAGTCAGCCCTGAGAGATGCCTGGACCTGCAGCAGAATTTCCATAAGCAAACAATGAACTCTTGTTGTGTTCATCCATTGAGATTTAGGGGTTGTTTGTTTGTAAGGCACGGCCTCTCTTATCCTAACACAGCCCTTTCTGAGCGATATCTCCCCATTTCTCGTCAGAGGATAACCATCGGCTCCTCGCAGGGTGGTGGTGAAGATTAATTATTAAAACGTCCACACTGAGTCCCTGAGTGCTGACTGCGTACCAGGCTTGTGGGGAAGCGCCTGGCTGTCAGATGTCCTGGTTGGGTGGGTGTAATAAGCTGAATGTTTGTGTCCGGCCAAAATCCATGGTAAAGCCATAATCCCCAAGGTGATGGTGTGTGGAGGTGGGGCCCTGGGGGGTGATTAGGTTTGGATGAGATCATGAGGTGGGGCCTCCATGATTATAGTAGTGTCCTTAGAAACAAAGGAAGAGACCAGAGCACTTGCTCTGACATGGGAAGGAAAATGGAAAAGAGAACCAGAAAGTGTTCTCACTAGGAACCTTGATCTCGGACGTCCCAGCCTCCAGATCGGTGAGAAATAAGTGTTTGCTGTTTAAGCCACCCGGTCCATTTGTTATAGCAGCCCAAGCAAACAGACAGCGAGCTCCATGTATTAGAGAGAACAGGAGAGAGCTGTGTTCAGATGCTCAGGTTGGGCACTAAACAATTGGTGGTGGACACTGACAATGATTATAAAGTGGAAGTTGCCCTCTGGAATTATGAACTGCCAGACTCCCCCTTCTGTTTTGAACCCACTGGTACATATGGAGACTGGTTTTGCTGCTAGAAGAATTGGGAGCAGGACTCTGAAAAAGGGCACAGGAGAAAAAGGAACAATGGCTATAATATCATAATAACCCTATACAATAAAAGGCTAATATGCAAATAGACCAAACGGCAGAACAACCAGTCACAATGACACGCACTGACCACCAGGGGGTAGACGCTCAACGCAGGAGCTGCCCCCTGGTGGTCAGTGCACTCCCATAGGGAGAGTGCCGCTCAGCCAGAAGCCCTGAGCTGGGCCCACAGCTGGTGAGCGCAGCGGTGGTGGCGGGAGCCTCTCCCACCTCCATGGCAGTGCTAAGGATGTCCAATTGCTGGCTTAGGTCTGTGGGTAGTGGGCCTAAGCTGTCAGTCAGACATCCCCCAAGGGCTCCCAGACTGTGAGAGGGTGCAGGCCAGGCTGAGGGACCCTCCCCCCAAGTGCACAAATTTCGTGCACCGGGCCTCTAGTAATATCAGGAAATACTCACATCCTGCGGCTATGTGCCTGGTACTGCTCCAAGCACTTTACTTATATTTGTTCATTTATTTCTCACAACTTCAGCCCTATGAGGTAGATACCATCATTCCCATTTTACAGATTAGAACATTGAGGCAAAGGTAAAGTAAATAAGCTACCTAACATCATGTGGCTTATAAATAGCAAAGACAGGATTTAAATATGGACAGTCTGACTTCAGAATTGCTCTTCAACCCTCCATTGTGTGGGTTCCAGGAAGGAGGGGAGTGGGGGGCACCTCCCCAGCACAGCACCTGGACTGGATTTGAGCTTCCAGAGTGAGAGCAAGGGCAGGAGCTGAAGAAACTGATTTCATGAGAGTGTTTGAGAGACAATGATATGCACTAACACAGCTCTTTGGGGCCCACACGACAAGACACAGAGTTGAGTAGGAACACAGTTTCCTCCACCCTTTACCCCTTTCATTCCTCTACCCCAATCCTGCCTCCTTGACCTTGATGCATAGCCCAGACTGCTCTGGTATCCAAAGAGCAGGGGACTTGGAAAGCAGCCAGAGGCCATCCCTTTGGCCTAGACCAGTGGTCGTCAAACTCATTAGTCAACAGAGCCAAATATCAACAGTACAACGATTGAAATATCTTTTGAGAGCCAAATTTTTTAAACTTAAACTATATAGGTAGGTACATTGTTATTAACCTACCTGTATAGTTTAAGTACTGTTGATATTTGGCGCCTCCCTCACACTGCGTCTCCCATTGCCCGACCGACTGACCAACACCCCCCACTTCCTCTAACACCACTTTTTCAAAATAGACTCGCCCAGGCCGAAAACCAACTTCTGCGCATGGGCCACGAAGTTTCAATTGCACTGTACGTGTGCACCCGCAAGTGGTATTTTGTGGAAGAGCCGCACACTCAAGAGGCCAAAGAGCCGCATGTGGCTCTCAAGCCATGGTTTGCTGACCACTGGCCTAGACTGGTAGTTCATGAGGGGAGGGATGGTGAGAAGGATCTTCCAAACATGTTCAGGGGTGGCAGATGTTCATGAGCCCGAGTTTGAGCAGAACCAGGATGGAAGAACGGATGGGCTCCTGTAGTGAAAGACAGTTTGTGGGCCCCTGTGAGACCCTAACCCTGGAGCCTGCCTGAAATGGCTGGCAGTGAGCATGTAGCGACTCAGACAGAGCTGGAGCCATTTAAATGCAAATGTAATCTCATCTGTGCTCAGAGGTCCTTCCGCTCTGTGACACATCAGGTCACAGGCAGTAACTCATCTAATTCTTACATCAACCCATTTTGTAGATGAAAACACCAAGGGTCAGAGAAGCTGACTGCCCAAAGTCATTCAGCCACTAGGCAAGAGAGTCTGGCAAACCGCAGAGCTCCTGCACTGTCCACATCTTCAGCTGCCCCCAAATGCCAGCCCTCCTGAGAGAACGCCCCCTGTGCTCAGGGATGCCTCCTCCTGGGGACCAGGCTCTTCAGGTCTCCAGCAGCTGGCAGAGGTCTGTCTACCAGGGCAAGCCTCTGCCTCACCCGCCCACCCGTGTGCTAGGGACAGAAGGGGGACTTTATGTGCAATCTGCCCGACTCTCCAGAAAGCACTTAGGTTTATGATGTGCATGAAATTGATCACCAGTTGGCGCAGCCCCCGCTCACTCATTGCCAGCCCAACGCTGGCAGGAGACTGTCCCCCAAACCCCCACCCCCTTCAAGGAGCATCAAAGCCGCCTGCCAAGGCCCCTTGTGAGGGTCTTTCCTCACTAACAAGTGCAGAGTGGAGCGGGGAGCTCTGCCCAAAGGCCTTTCCACAGCGTACATACCCACGCCCCA